TGCGTTAGTTGGTGTTGTAGCTGAGATTCTTCCCATTCCAATGATGTATGGGATGTATTGATTTGATACAAGCAAGTCAGTGCTTCATTGTGTACTTTCAACTACAGTATATGGTCCGGACCCACCGGTGGGCCCATCAAGTTCAGCATTCACTGCATTCACTGTGATGAATGTAAAATAAGACACTGATACTGCTTTCCTCAATGAACATTTAGAGAAAAATAAATATTCAGGGCTCCTCTCCCTCAGGGGCCTCTTCCTGGTCTGTTGACTGTTGGTCAGGCTCATAGTCTGGATCGCTGTTGTCTTCCATTTCTGAGACATCGTCCTCTATGTCTGGTTCAATCTCCTCTTCATCCGGTTCAAAACATTTGTCCAGAGCCTCTCTGACAGAAAATCGACTAATCGGTCGCCTACTCATTGTGTCAATGAGTCAAATGTGAGCAAGGCACAAATATAACTGCATGAGAGACAGTAATGGAAGGGCATTTACTGCGAGAAAGTGAGAGGTTTTTCTTTCTCGAGGGGCACAGAGCTCGCACCTGTGAGAAGTTATGATACATTGTATCATACAGCGCGAGTATGTGTGTGTGTGTGTGTGTGTGTGTGTGTGTGTGTGTGTGTGTGTGTGTGTGTGTGTGTGTGTGTGTGTGTGTGTGTGTGTGTGTGTGTGTGTGTGTGTGTGTGTGGAGATGTTTTCCATCTGCAGGATGAAAATAATACACTCATACCCATTCATTTCCTATGGCGAAAACATCGCTGTTGAATAAATCACTAAAAAATCTATACAAGTGGTGATCATCAATTGTATATGTTCAGAGGCCTAGTGTGGAGGATAACATAAGGTCTTGAGGCAATCGGATGAAAAACACAATATTTATGATCAAAAACAAAGTCACTCGCGGTCACTTTTGACCCGAAACGGAAGAGAAGGTTTAAATAGAACGGCATGTTTAGGAGAATGTGTTTGGTTGGTTGTAAGAGGGACGAGGTGCGTCACGTGTTAATGTATCATTGGTGCTCGAGTTGACTGCCTGAACTAGTTTGCAGGCTTCGCCCCATATATGAAGGTTATATTTCAAGCGTGTTATGCAAATAAGTTATTGGGCTTTTTTTTTTATCAACTAAGATTTGTCAGAGAATGTTTTCAACTTTAATTGACTGAATTTGTTTGAAAACAGCATTGTATACATTTTACTTGAACCTGTTAACACTGTAATAAATGTATTATTAAGTTAAGTTGTTTTGTTACTTACCCATATTTAAGGATTACATAAAGTCAGGATGTCAGACTGACCAAGTTTTCTAAACTTAACACAAAAAGTAAGGCAATTTGTGTTTGGTAGATAATTTCTATGTTGTAACAATGATTTTTGGCAAAAAATCTTATACCGTTGGAAAGCCTGTTTATTTACCTTTCCAATGGTACCACATTTGTGAGGAACAAGCATTTGTGTGATGAGCAGCAGATCTGCGTATGTGGGGTGCGCCCATGAAAAATGTGACAAATCTCCTCTGCCAATGCCAAACAGCTTTTTTTGCTGCTCACTCTAGTTTGGTGTTGTTTGGTGGATTGAAGTCTGATAAATAAAGACATGTTGGCAACAATTGATTTATTAACTATTTATTTATTTAACAAGCAGCCTCAGTAGCGTGTGGAAGAATCAAACTCAGCCACAACAGCCTCTCCTCCTCATGCTGTCACCAGCCTGCTCACACTCTGCTGTGGGATGGCATCCCATTCTTCAACCAGCATTTGTCCCAAGTCAGCCAACACGGTTGTGTTGGTCACTCTGGCACGGACAGCAAGGCCAAGTTGATCCCAAAATGGGGTTCAATGGGGTTGAGGTCAGGACTGCAGGCAGGCCATCCTCTCCACTCCTACTCTATTGGTGCAGCAAGCAGCAAAGCGTTCTCCGCGTCTTCTCCACACTGTGACCCTACGATCCAAGTGCCGAAGGCAGAATATGGACTCATTGCTGAACATAATGTTCCTCCACATGTTGAGGTTCCAGTGCAAGTGGGCCTGATGGTGAAGGGCAGTCATGGAAGGCCTCCTGGCATCCGTACGAGACTGGAGAGTGGCTGCTGTTTGGCATTGGCAGAGGAGATTTGTCACATTCTTCATGGGCGCAGCCCACATACTCAGCTCTGCTTTTCATCCCACAAATGCTTGTTCCTCACAAATGTGGTACCATTGGAAACGTAAGAAAACAGGCTTTCCAACGGTATAAGATGTATTGCCAAAAAGCATTGTTAGAACATAGAAATCATCTACCAAACACAAATTGCCTTACTTTTTGTGTTAAAAGGCTTCTGGGTAAGCAGCTCTAAAAAGTAGTGTTTTTAGCCTCGACTTAAAAGAACTCAGCATTGGTGAAGACCTCAGGTTTTCTGGAAGTTTGTTCCATTTGTGGGGAGCATAAAAACTAAAAGCAGCTTCGGCGTGTTTGGTTCTGAGCCGGGGAACAATGAGTAAGCCCGCCCCCGATGATCTCAGAGATCTGGGGGGCTCATAACAGGGCAGCATGTCAGACATATATTGGGGACTCCCAAACCATTTCATGCTTTATAAGTTAGCAATATCATTTTAAAATCGATTCTGTAAGCTACTGGTAGCCAGTGCAGAGATCTGAGTAGCCTACTGGGGTGATGTGTTCTACTCTTTTTGTTTTGGTCAGGACTCTGGCAGCGGCGTTCTGGATTAGTCGTAGTTTTTTAAGCGATTTTTTACAGAGAACTGTAAATACACTATTACAGTAATCAAGCCTGCTAAAAACAAATGCGTGAACTAGTTTTTCAAGGTCTTGTTGAGACATGAATGTTAAGTCTGGCTATGTTTTTCAGGTGATAGTATGCTGATAGTATATCAACATCATTCATTCTAAATGTACCAATGCCAAAAGAAACCTTAAAAATATAACACTTGATTTTACAGATATTGCCATTTAAACATAAATTGGGTACACATAATGCAAAATACTGAGGTGCGGTCCTCAGGTTATCCTGACGGTGATGCTGCTTTTGTCTGATGGTCTGTGTGAGGTGAGTCTGTTCAGAAAACATCACAACAGGAACTTCAGGAGCATCTGGTCACTCAGACGACCTGAACAACAGCAGATTCACTGTTACATTGCACTGTCATGTTATAACATCAAAGTATGGTAAAGTTTACTACAACATGTGTGTGGTTTTAACAACATAAAAGATAATGACAAATGATTTTTATCAAGTATAGAGTAACACATTGATTGACAGAACATCTGACTTGAGTGTAAGTTGTGACAAAGTCTTTAAAATATGCGAGAGGTTCCAATAATGATGTATGACCATAGAGACCTGGGGACATTTTATTTGATATGTTACACTGGAAATGCAATGTAGATGCTGCAGTACAATATTACAATATTACAGTACAGTGTCATATTACAGTACATTTTCATTAATATTACAGTACAGTGTCACTAATATTACAGTACAGTGTCATATTTCAGTACAGTTTCACTAATATTACAGTACAGTGTCTTAATATTACAGTGCAGTGTCACTAATATTACAGTACAGTGTCATATGTCAGTACAGTGTCACTAATATTACATCCTGACGACTATAGCTATCTTAAACAGCCTGTGTAACAGTTACACTTATTTTGTATTATTTAGTTGTTTTATATTGTTTTTATACATATGTTATATAGCATATCATGTCTTTTCATGTTAACCTTAAACTTAAAGCTGTAATACACAGAATCTAAAAATATATAAAGGAGTTAAAATTAGCACAGCAGCAGTAAAATGCAGCATACACAGTAATAAAGCAGTTGTATTAATCCAAAAACATCTGATATAGCAGCAAACTGGGATCATTTTACTGACTTATTTTACTTTTAATACTTGAAGTACATGATAGTACTTACAGTACATACTTTTACTTAAGTAAGGTTATGATTGCTTTGACTTCTACTAGTAGGCTAGTGATATTTTCACAGTATGGGGATTACGAAAGGATTTGTTGATTTTATCCACCCCAGCATCTGAATAAGATATTGGTTTTACACAGTAGTGGGGAAGTTACGAAGTACATTTATTTACTTAAGTATGAATTTTAAGGTTATTGTACTTTACTTTCGTACATTTATGCTACAGCTTAATTACTTTATAAATATAACTTTAACACCAAAAGTATAAAATGTTAAACCTTTAATTTGAAGTGGATTAAAATATACAACATGATATTCAGGTACCGCTGACAATGAGTTTCCTATTAAACGTGAATATTTGCTGCTTTTCTTTTAAAATATGTTTTCAATAATTAATTATTTGAATAATAGTTTTTTTCTGCAATGAGTACTTTTGATGTTAACACTTCAAGTACATTTTCCTGATCATGATTCATTTTTAAATCCTTTTACCATGTGTAAATGGAGGATTCTCACTTGTGATGGAGTATTAGTGTAGCATCAGAGTCGGGAAGTAACTACCTTTACTCAAGTAGCCTACTGTACTTAAGTACAATGTTGAGATACTTGTACTTTACTTGAGTATTTCCGTTTTAAGCTACTTTCTACTTCGACTCCACTACAATTCTGAGTTAAATTGTGTACTTTTACTCCACTACATTTATTTCATACATTTAGTTACTTTACAGATTTGGATTATTGGTGTGAAATATAATCAACTCTTAAATCAGACTTTAGTTACACCTGGAGAAAATTCACAAGCTACCCTGCAGTATACAAAGTCATTAAAACTAGCTGCACCTTTACCAACGTTGATGAATCAATAATTATAATTAAAACACATATTATTCTGAAATTGACCAATCTGCATAATGAGTCATTTTACTTCCGGTAGGCTACTTCCTATATTTTGATGCTAATACTTTTTTACTTTTACCTGGGGAACATTTTGATGCAGGACTTTTACTTGTAACAGAGTTTTCCTACACTCTGGTACTTCTACTTTTACTCAAGTACAAGATCTGAGTACTTCTTCAACCTTACACATAATTGGGGCAACAAAGCTCTCGAAAACTATGCATGGATATGAAGACTTTTGGCCAGCTGTTTGGGCAGATTGCACGTGTTTACCCCCCCACCCCGCACACAGACGAGACAGAGAGCTTGTCGTGGGCTCGTCCGCTTTTCTTTTAACTGCCGGGTTTGTTAAAAACGTATTTTGTGATTTTTCGAGCAACCAGTGTTTGTTTACAAGTTCTTCCCACGCTGCACGCGCCTGCCCTGCAGTACCTCCGCTCCTCGTCCCACAGTATGAAAACCTCTGGATCTGTACAGTCTATGCTCTGGATGCGCCATACTACACAGTTACTTTCCACACATCACTTCCACTTTCGTGATATCATGTTATGTATCGCTACGTCATCTGTCGTTTCCCTTTTCCAAAAGTTTCCACAGCTACGCCCTCTCGTCTATAAAACATCTCAATATGCGGAAGTAGACCTTATTACAACCATCGCCGCCACACTTCTTTATGCTCTCTCCGCCGACAACATGAACTTCAAAGTTACTAACCCCACATTTAGGCTTTTTGCAGTCGGTAAGTTGAAAAAGTTGTTTTTACGCATCTAGAGGTCAAACCGAGCTACTGACTTATGAGTCGGTTGTTAAATGACACTTCAGGAATGTCTTCAAATGTAAACCTGAAAAAAAGAATACAAATAAATTGTAATTTCATGAATCAAATCACATTAAAGACATGTAAATTAAAAGACATTGTACTTTTTTGTGTAAAAAAAAAAAAAAAAAAAATGCATGTGGTCGGTGGGTTAAAAGTTAAGACAAAGTAATAATACAGAAAACATTTTAAGGTAAATAATAATAAGGGACCGCCCTGCTGAAAAAACCAGCATAGACCAGCATAGTGTTGACCATGATAAATATCATGTTTAAATAGCGAGACAGCTCTTTGATCAACTAATCTGAATCTAATCTACACACTGAGTTTATCTTTGAAAAACCAAAGCTTATCTACTTACCAAAACACTTTCCCGCTTCACTCAGCTCTGTTTAGTTGCTGTTCATTCATACTGTACGTGCAGCTAATCTGTATTTATATGTTATTATAAAACAAACTCAAACTATTAAACATGTGCTGTGATAAGCAGGTCGACTCACCTCTTAATCAGCTCCTGTCATCTCAGTTCCTCCTTCACTGCAGACTTCCTCTTTCTTGATATTCAGAATTTCAGTCTCCAAAATAAAAATCAGCTTGCGTCCTGGCCAATCCACATTTGTCTGTCTTAATGCCTTTAAGGAGCCCTGTTGTAATTGTAATTTGAGCCTCTTCTGGGACATGTGTATATGCTTAAATGTTCAAAAAGCTCTTTATTTTTCTGATGCTGCTTGTTTTCACCCTCTGTCTGAAACCGGAGCCCGACCTACTCTAATTGGTTAGCTGGCCGGCTCTGTTGTGATTGGTCTTAGAGATGTCCCGCCACATAGCCTATCACGTATAATGTGTTGGAGCGCTTGAAAATAGAAGCGTGAGTGTTACATTGTGATGTCACTACATTAAGGAAGTAAACAAAGGAGTCCAATGCAGGTGTTTCAGGCAGGGGGGGAGTATGTGGGAGAGAAATTACCTCTGGAGGGAACTTTGGGGAATTTAGCCTTTGCAGACCATTTACATGCACCTACATAAACCTATATAACACATTAGCAGTCCGGAAAATTAAATAAGTATGAAGTAAAAATTGACATTTATGTGTGGACTGCAAATGTTGAATATAGCATCGCTGGCCCCAGAGAAAGAACATTGTACATACCATACATCCTCATTGTGTACTTGCATGTGTATGGCTTGACAACAGAGTTACTAGTTAGCATGTTAGCTTGCTAATAATAGCATTGCATCTGCATTACAATATCTTAATAATGTATAACAACAATAATAATGTTCATGACATTCCTGTAAGAAATTAGTTAACATGTTAATGTCTGAATTTAGTTTTTTAATAACTTACATTTTTCTTCTTTTCAGCATTCTCAGCTCTTGCAGTGATGCTTGCAGCTGCAGCAGATGCTTCACCAGAACTAACCTGCAACGTCACCAAAACACCAGATGGGTTCCTTCACCTACTGTCCCGCTCCTCCGATTGTAATACCAGCTGGGTGGACAAAAATGTAAGTCATTGTAACCAGTTTACACAGTTTAGGAAGCTAGGATCAGACTGAAGGATGTTTTTTATCGTCACTGGGTCAGATAAGGCAATCTTAGAGCCATAAATTCTTCTTTACACAGTAAAGTTATTTTGGTGTCCTCCCTTGTGTGTTTCTGACACCCTGAGAGCAGTGCCAGTAGGAGTTCAATCCCCCCTGCAGGTTAAGCCTGGCCAGATCACCTGTTAGTTCACCTGTATTTATGGACACAGAACATTCGAAAATATGTTTTTTTTTTATAATCACTGTTACAGAGTGCAGAAAGAAGTTACCACTAGGACTCTAACGAGATGGGGTTAAAAAAAACTTGAGCAGGAAACTCACATTTTGTATTTGGTGTTATAAACAATATAATTGACCTTTTGCCGATACTAGTTTTAATTAACCCTTTCATGCATAGAGGTCACTACAGTGGACAGCTATTCAAAAGGTGTTTTCTTGTATATGCATTGTTTTTTTTTGCATAGTTGCACCATCAGCCACTACATAGGACCCTATTGCATCATCCCATACACTGCTACTCAGTGGAAAGTCAGTGTAAGTGCATGATACATGTCTCTAAACCAAGATGGACGACAGAAAGCCACATGGACCAAGTCACCCATCTATATCTTGCCAATCCTTTCATGGAAAGCGCTCCCTGCAGGTATAACAAATGTGGTGACATCAAGTAACAACTAAGGAATCATATAATTCATAAATTATCAAAGTATTGATTTTATGTTTGCAGGAAATCATGATTAACCACCTGTCCACTACAGTGGACGTCATGCATCACTGGCTATATTTCAACTACAATTCATACTGGTACTGCTGCTGCTGTACCCAGGGCCGTCCCTCCCAACAGGCAGATCACGCAGACTGTGTGGGGCCTCACCTTGTGGAGGGGGCCACACCTTGCGGAGGGGGGCCTCATCTGAGGCGCACCTATGTGCTTATGTGGTGCAATTAGGGTGGCGCGGCACGGTTTCGCCGCTGCGAGGCTCCACTAGCACTCATCAAATAACTGTGCGTGGGGCCTCAAATTGGCCCCTGGCCCTGGTTATTCTTGAAAATATTTCATCTGCAATATATTTTTGCGCCGTAAATCTTTGCACTTTTAAACACCTCTCTTACCTCAGGATGTGTCCCAGCTGCCTTCAAACATGCCGTGGTTAAGCCACTCCTTAAAAAGAAAAATCTCGACCCCTCCATTCTCGCAAATTTTAGGCCCATCTCCCAGCTACCTTTTTTATCAAAAGCCCTGGAGCGAGTAGTCTACGCCCAGCTGCAGTCTTTTTTAACCACGCATGGAATCCATGAAAAGTTCCAGTCTGGCTTCAAACCCATGCACAGCACTGAAACAGCCCTTTTAAGAGTTTTTAATGATCTGCTCCTAGCCGCCGACTCAGGTAGCCCAGCTGTCTTGGTGCTGTTAGACCTGACAGCTGCCTTTGACACTGTGGACCATAGCATCCTGCTGTCACGGCTTGAACAGTCCGCTGGCATCACAGGCTCTGCCCTTGCATGGTTCAGGTCCTACCTGACAGACCGTAGCTTCTCGGTACAGCTAGGTGCCTTCTCCTCTGCCAAAGCCCCTCTTACCTGTGGGGTTCCCCAAGGCTCGATTCTGGGCCCCATCCTTTTTCTACTGTACATACTGCCCCTAGGTTCAATACTCACAAAACATAACATTCCCTTCCACTGCTACGCCGACGATGTACAGATATATCTGCCTCTCAAAGCAAATGTCACACACTCACTACAGCAGCTGATGGACTGCTTTGCAGAGATAAAATCCTGGCTGAGCAAAAACTTCCTCAACCTCAACGAGAGCAAGACCGAGGTCATCTTTTTTGGACCGCAACCTCCAGCCTCTCCGGTTGATATTCTGGGCTCTATCAAAAAAAACATCCTCCCCTCGGTCATGAACCTTGGAGTGACATTCACCAGCACTTTTAAATTTGACAAGCAGGTCAGCACCGTAGTAAAATCCTGCTTTTTTAAAATAAGACTATTGGCCAAAACCAAGTCGTATTTATCTTTTAAAGACTTAGAAAGGGTTATTAACGCCTTTGTAACCTCGAGACTGGACTATTGTAACGTTCTGTATGTGGGTATGGACCAGGCCTCAATCAAACGCTTACAGCTAGTCCAAAACGCTGCTGCACGTTTGCTGACTGGTCACAAAAAGCGCGACCACATCACCCCTATTCTGGCCTCACTACACTGGCTTCCAGTTCGGTTCAGAATTGATTTTAAAATCCTTTTATTTGTTTTTAAAGCACTAAATGGGCTGGCTCCGGCCTATATACTGTAGCTGAACTCCTCCAGCGCTACACCCCAGCCAGAGCTTTAAGGTCTGCTGACCAGCTGCTGCTGGTAGTGCCCAAGACCAGGCTAAAAACCCGAGGGCACCGAGCCTTCGCAGCAGCTGGCCCTAGGCTCTGGAACACTCTGCCCCTCCATGTGAGGTCGGCCCAGACCCTAGGGGTTTTTAAATCAAAACTAAAAACACACTTCTTCTCTCTGGCTTTCTAGTTAGAGCAGAGCACGACTCCTGACTATTCCGTGTGTTTTATTCTTATTTTGTTTTTTTAAGTTATATCTGTTGTAATTTATTGTCGTTTATTGTGTTTTGTAGTAATGTGTTTTTATTACATGTACAGCACTTTGGCTCGACCAAAAATCGCTTTTAAATGTGCTTTATAAATAAAACCTGATTTGATTTGATTTGATTTGAAATCAATATACTTATGTTATTATAATGTAATTTTAAGTTTGCACATCTTTATTTATAATTTTTTCCAAATTTACATATTTTCAGTTCAAACCCTGAACGCATACTGTCCACCTGAGTGGACATATTAAAATCTATTTTAAAAAAATAGATAAAAAAATAAATAATTGTCAAATCTTGTTTTTCATGCCCCAAGAGCAATAATAACACTTGGTAAAAAAATCCTGACTGAGGTTTTCATAATTCATGCATGAAAGGGTAGAGCTTTAACCCATCACAATGTAACTCTATGCTCTGCTAACGTTAGCTGTTAGCCCCGTATTTAGTACTGACCTGCCCACTGGTTGCTAACAGCTATCAGCTAACAGCTAACTCCCTCTCCTGCTGACTTTAACACAGAGTGGTCGGTTCACAATTATCCTCATCAAATCAATGGAGACTTTTAGGTTTGAATCACCATCTCTAAGTCATCTCTTCATTGCGTCTGTCACAGTTTAGTCATATTGATAGTATCAGTCACTCATTTCATAACATTTGACCTTGCAACTGTCAATGAAACTAGAGATAACATGTTGTGAGTTCAGCTCTCTGGTAGTCGCTGCGGGAGTGAAATAGCATTGCTTTAAGCCATGCAAGCAGCATTGCTTACAGCTAAATGCTAACATCAGCATTCTCACAATGACAAATCTAACATTTAATTGTTTAGAAGTTATAATGTTTACCATGTTCATTTGAACTAAACCAGTATGTTTGCTGTCCTTAAAAAAAAGGGGGAGTCGTTCCACACTTTCACATCAGTGTGGAAAACCTTTGTAGTGAAATCTGTTTTTTGCAAGCAGTAAACATGCCTTCGAACTGTAAAATGTGAAATTACATTTTACATATAACATTTATATGGGCGCAATAACTTTAACCAGATGCTTTGAAATCCAAAGAATCTGCATAATCTATGCTCTTTTACAAGAGAGGATACTCTTATTTGTAAAAAAAGACAAAATGTTGTGACAGTAGTGCAATAGTTGTATGAACTGTCATTCAAAAGATAAAAAATCGACTAACTTTGTGCTTTATTAGTTAATCTGACGTCTTATTGAACCCGGCTGTCTGTGTTTTTATTTCCCAGGGAGTAGTCCTCGCCCGGAACCAGGTCTACGATAAAAATAAAGTCCAGAGCCTGACGGACCAGTCCCTCACCTCGAAACTATGCCACGACAACATTGACTATACAAGCACCTGTGGTGTAAGTACATTCACTTAACCCTTATGTTGTGTGCGGGTCTCCCGTGACCCGTTTCAAGTTAAAATGATATAATAACTACGCTCTAGTTTTTTTTATCGGAACAAGGCTTCATGATATCCTCCACAACAGCTATATAAACACTACAATAATAATAATAATAATAATAGCTTGGATTTATATAGCGCCTTTCATGGGACCCAAGGTCGCTTTAACAAAGAAGAATAGGGCAAAAACAAACATAACAAAACAAAAGGCAGTCAGACAACCAGTCAGACAGACAAAACAACAGATAGATTTAGGGGCCAAAGGCCTTAGTAAACAGATGGGTCTTGAGGGCCCTTTTGAAGGCGTCAAGTGTGGGGATGTTGCGGATCTCTGCAGGGAGAGCGTTCCAGAGGGTGGGGGCTGCCACACTGAAGGCTCTGTCCCCGAAGGTTCGCAGGTTGGTGCGGGGGGTGGTGAGCAGGCCAGAGTCTGAAGACCGCAGGTTCCGGGGTGGGGCATGTGGGTGGAGGATGTCCGATAGGTACTGGGGGGCATGGGCATGGAGGGACTTGTAGGTGAGGAGGAGGATTTTGTAAGATATGCAGGACTTGACCGGCCGCCAGTGGAGGTGGATGAGGGTGGGAGTGATGTGCTGCCACGGCTTTGTATTTGTGAGTACCCTAGCAGCACAGTTTTTTTGTCCAGGGTTTTGTTGGGAACCCCAAACAGGACACCATTGCAGTAGTCCAAGCGGGAGGTGACAAACGCATGAACTAGGGTTTCGGCAACCGACTCCGAGAGTGACGGTCGGAGTCTGGCAATGTTCTTTAGGTGGAAAAAGGCCGATTTGGTCACAGACTTGACGTGGGAGTGGAAGGAAAGGGTGGAGTCGAGGATGACACCCAGGTTGCGGGCTTCAGGAGATGGGGAGATGGAGCAGCCGTCGACCTCGAGGATGAAATCACCAACCTTCTGGAGCAGCGCCTTGGGTGCCACAACCATGAGCTCTGTTTTTTACTACAGAACTGATTTTGACAATTTTAGCCAAGTCTGAAGGTGGACCCAGCAGCATTGTTTTGGGTGACTCTGGGTCAGATTTGGCCCAATCAAGATTCATCTTTGACTTTAGACACGCCCCCCCCCCCACCCCACCCCCTTCATCCACTGTAACAATAGTTTTTCGCAACATGCACCTGGTCTCCCCTCCCTCTGGCCCCCCTCCCCCACGGGAACTCGACCTTTCACAAAGAATATGTACACTAACACTTGAACCCGAACACACATATGCATGCACGTGTGCAATATGTGGTGTAATGTGGTTTGGGGCCATAAAATTAAATTACAACAGGATTGTACGGTTATGAATGCATTATAAGTTAGTTATGATGTAGTTGAAACAATATGGGATGATAGTAATTATTTTACTAGAGTGTTTTGGACTGAGATAAATCATGGGTCAAAAAGACCCGCAAACATCATGAACGGTAACAGCTTTCGAACACAACACAAGGGTTAAGATCACAGTTCAAATCATAGATGGGAGTATATTGAACACATTTCAGATGTGTTAAAGTCACATAGCATTACATTACATGTTACTTGTTAGACGCTTTTATCCAAAGCGACTTTCCCCACAGGAGCAATTTGGGGTGAAGTGTCTCAGGGACACAACGACATGCAGACTGCAGTGGGGTTTGAACCTGTGCTCCTTTGATCCGAACACTAACGCTCTATTCACTGCGCCACACGCCTCCTGATAGCATGAGCACAGAGGGAGTTTAAGATATTTCTATTTCTGTAATGTCACATATGAAGAGTTCCCCTACAATCTAGGCATACTATGATGTGGGAGGTTCAACGAATAGTTGTCAATACTGAAACACCTCTGAACTGGAATGAAATGATTCAAGTTCTATTCTAAGTTTTTCACAATTAGTGTCGGAATTATACAGTTTTAGTCTTTGTTAAACAGTTGTTATTGAGTGAAAGAAGCTAAACATTGTATAACAGCAAATTCCAACATTTTAAACAATGGTGTAGATGCAATTTTTTAAATAAAAATAGGATAAGTTTAGAAAATATAATGCAACAGACTCTCTCTCTCTTCACCTTTATTCATTTGTAATATAAGTATACATAATTTGACAAAAAAAGAGCCAAATTGCACTATAAAAACAGACTTAAAGATTGTCTGTAGATATCCTGATAATATCCAGCGTTATTGTGTCACCAGTTATCAGAAACAGTAATAAGAAAATCTTACATTGTGACAGCACTATTTGACAAATCAACCCAACATTTCGCACATGGCCTCATTATGCGTCGCGTCCCATAGCAACCTCTTCCAGGTTCATCTCTGACATGCTGCTGTTGGCTCCATTTGCACTTACCTGAAAATAAACACATGGAATCACAAACACAAACAAATTATATATATATATAATGCATTGTTTTATATTAAACCAGTTGGTCTTAAATCCAAAAATAAATATCCATAATTTTATCTGACATTTTACTGTTTTCTTCTCCATGTTTCTTCAGTCAAATTCGGATTCCTCAAAGGACAACAGACTGGTGAGTAACACACATTTTCTGAAATCAAATTTCCGGCACTTTGTATTTTTGGATCATCTCTCAAGAGTTTATACTTCTACTTGAATTACTGGTTACTGCATTTTATAGCACATGAGAAAATGCATACATAATTCAGTAAAACTATAACAAGCAACTTTTACCCAGCTTATATGATAGCGTTTATATAAGGGAACATGTTACCAAATCCGCATTTTTTTATCCCAACAACATTTTAAAAATGGATCGTATTAGTTATATTTAATCTATTTATTTTATATTTCGTGATTAAACACCAAGTTTAATCTGAGGCTGATGGGAATGTCATTATTTCTGCATGTATTTAGTCATAAACACATAGTATTAGACACATTCAAAATGTTGACCGGATGACGGAGATAGATTAAAGTGAAAGTACATTTTGTCAGGTTTTTTGCGTATTTGTATTATTTTAGTGCGGCTAAAAGAGCTCACCTGTTGTCCCCGACTACGGGTAGATGATAAATAGTCCTTACCAAAACTCCTCTTAAAAAATGAAAGCCCACAAAAAATGTATGAGCACAAAATATTAAATTAAACTATATTATATAAAATACTTCAAACGTTTTTTGTCTGATATAGGCCAAATAGTTTTTCTTCAAATAGGTATTTTTTTAATGTAAATTCTGCTATTTCTCGTGTTTTTTATGGCCAAAAAATGTATGCTTTTTTCCCTTTTTATCTGGAAAATGTTTAGAAATAAGCTAAAAATGCCGAACATTATTTCTAAGACCTCAAGGTGACATATTTAAATATATTTTTAGTTTGACCAACAGTTGAAGCCCCTAAAAGTGTTTAGCTCATTATTATTCTGAAAAAGCAGCAAAAAGCGATGACCACATTTTTTGCAATCTCACACTTGAAAATCTTAGTGTGCACTTCCTGTCTCTGTACAGAACAAATCCTGAAAAAACGCATAATAATTTAATCTGTTACATTTTTAAGTAACTGACTACAAATCCAAAGCAGCGGTTATGTTAACCTGAAGATCTTTGCGGAATGTTAGCATTGTGTTTGTCCACAGTTGTTAAAATCTGTTGAATATTTACTAGTTCTAATTATATCCTTCTCTGTGTATCTCCTTCTTCCTTTAGACCGACGAGAGAGCCCACTGCACATGTAAGTATCGCATTAATGTTGCGAAACTTTAATGTGAAAAACATATTTTGAATGTGAGTATTTGTAAACCGCCCCCCTCCTGTAACTGTCAAAGACTCTTTTTACTAATTATGTGGGAGGTTCAAATAAAGTTGGAAAAACTAAAACACCACTGAGCTTTCATAACCTACACTGATACTCCGCTTTTTAACTGCTATTGAAAAGTTTGTAATTTCAGTTTATAGAAGGCTCCTTTAAAAATTAATGTCATTTTGTTTTATACTTTGAGAGCAAAGGTTAAAGCAGACTGACATTATCAAAGGCTAAAAGAGACAAAGAGTAGATTGAAGGGTTCAAAGAAATATAGAGAAATACTAAAGATTTTAACAAGTTATTTTCCATCCCCCTGTTTTTATAGGAGTATCTGTCTGGAGAAATGCAAATTCATCTTCTTCTCTGAGTTTTTACTCTTTTAGCAATACAAATACTGTTTTTTTTCAGACACCTGCAGCAGCCCTATCTGGGATCCTAAGGCCTCTCAACCAACCCCAGGTGAGTCAACACGTCTCGACAAATACACTAAACTTTGTCATTATAGGACCATTGCTTTGCGTGTGTTAATACCACTTAATGGTCTGCTGACAGCAGTTTACATTTCTTACATTTGAAACATGTATAACAGCCCTGTCTCCTAGAAATTAAGCAGAGAAGAAAACTACAATAGAGAGCAAAACAAACTAATTCAGCAAATAAAGTAATTCAATAAATAAATTAAATAATGAATAAAGAGCATTAAAATACAGATACATAAAATAGAGTAAGAGCAAATATATTGCAAAGGAAATCATATGTGGTCTACCTTCTAGCTACATTTCAAGTAGATAAGAAAAGAGTCTTCCTGTATCTTTCAGTTTGTAGTTCACCCACAAAGTGTCAATTGTAAGAAGCACAGTGGACGAGAATAAAGAATGCTACACTCTTGTTTGTTTGATTATCAGGAAGCAGTTAGTTTTGCTTACAGCATCTGAAGGAATTCCCCTACTGTGGTTTATATTCAGCAGACAATGTTGCAAAACCTGTTCTTGATTTTCTGGACCTGACTGTGTGACAGAGATATGGGGTTTTCACATTACAATAACCGATTAAAGATGTAACAGTTCTGAACAGATTAACAGACAGTAGTTATTACTATTGATTTGTAATATATGTTAACACTTTACAGTATCAAGGTAATAGAATATGAATACTATTATATTATTATTTAATAGCTTAAGTATGGCATTTGTTTGCTAATTTCTATATCTTCTTTAGGTTCTTAAAAAAGATTAACGATCTGGTTATAATTATTCAATAAAGTGCCTACATAAATGTTTCATTAAGCCAGGTTAATGTACCACATATTTAATCCCAACTGTGAGTTTAACAAAGAGGGGAGAAAACCTAAATAAAACATTGGTTTGCCTTCACTCACAACACGTCACTCAAAGGGACAGCAAACAGGAAGAGACACAACATGACCACAAAGAAACCTAAGTGCGGGAACGTTAACGCAAATCAATCACATTACCAAGTTTACCAATTGATTGTGATTAACGCCAATACATTTAGTAACTGATTGAAAACGCTATATTAGACTAATGTTGACCTAAGAGTAGTGAGACAGACAGACCATCCAGAGAACCAGGGTGCCAGCATTGCTAAGAACTCATTTACAATGGTTTAGTCAAATAAAAATGGCATAAAACGACCTGTTTCCTATTTCTCATTTCAGTGACCCCTATGGCGAATCATAATCATAATCTGACCTGGCAAATTCTGCTTGGTGTTGTCAGTGTCGGTGTCGGTGTCCTCATGGCTGTGATCTTGTACATCAAATGCAGAAAGAAAAAAGCTTGTCGACCTGTGGTGAATTATATTGAGGAACAGGATGTCATGGTGGAGATGGCGGACGTCAACTAAAAGATAAAAACAGACCTCTAGTCTAAATTTGACCACTGTTTTTCATACTGTATGTAATGAGGTCAGTGCCTTACAGACAATAGAGGGCTACATATACACAAAATGTTAACCGGAAATGTTTATATATATGGGATTTGTTACATTATAATGTTTTTTTAAGTAACAGAGAGAGGAAGGATGAAGGCATACAGGCATTGCATATGAAGTGTGATTGCACTTTGTTCCGAAGTCCAGGAGCCAAAAAGAGACGAGCTAGCTGTTTAAAAAGTTCATGGAAAAATAACAAGATTTATGTTATTTTTTTAAAGAAGAAAGAAATGGTGCTTTTGGAGTCAGATTTGCTGAATAATCAGCAAACCACTGTGCTTGGTCATCCTTTTCAAGGGGGAATCAAGCAGGAAAACCTTTGTGTGACCTTTTGTTAGCTTCCCAACACAACGTCAATTCCATTAGTTAGAATCCCCCACTTAAATATCAACTTTAAAGTGGACCTATCATGCTACATTTAAATGATATATTGTAGGGCCATACCTATATAAGGTATATTTATACGTTTCTGTTTTCAAAATACCAAACAGATCATGCATTTTAGCCATGCCTCATTTCGCTCTATGTGCTGTTTGCTGTCTACGGGTCTGATTCTGCTGACCACGCCCCCCTGCAGGAGAGGGGAGATGTGCTCTGATCAGCTGCTGGGCTGTCAGAAGAGGGGGAGAAAAAGAGATCTCCGTCCTCCGTGTTTTATTATATAGAGTCGTTATTCATTTGTTTTAAAGGGTGGGTGTTTGTCATCTGCTGGTGGACTAACCGGAGAGAATTACAGTGCTTGCCTCGACGGGGAGGGATTGCATTGCAGCGGGAGCAAACGTTTGCCTCGGGGAGGGAGAAAAAAAGCCAGAAGGGTAACCATGGTAACCAAGTCTTCTTCGCTGCTTTTGTGGCAGACTACAGCGCCACTTACAGGCCTGGCATATGTACTACAGCGTCTCCAGCGCTTTTCGAACGGCAATGGCCTGTCTCCTCCTGATTGGTGGAGTTGGCCCAATAGCCGTAGCGCCACCGTCCTGACGTCAGGACAGTGTTCAAATCTGGATCAGTTTTTATCAGATCCGTTGCAGCCCCTTTTTTAGAGATTTGGGTATGGAGGAAAATAGAGAGGGTTGTGTTTTCTGACACTTGGTGAGTTCCCTGGAACACCGGGGACACATATTCATGTATAAAAGACGTACAAAAGTGCATTTTGCATGATAGGTCCCCTTTAAGTAAGGTTATGATTGCTTTGACTTCTACTAGTAGTGATATGTTCACAGTATGGGGAAAGTATTCTCCAGATCCATTTTCTGGGGTAAAGAAATGCATTCTTTATCCTGGATGTAGATAAGTTTAAATACTATACAACCACAAACCCTGTGCATAACTGTGGTGGTAAGCCATAAAGGCCCAACAGTAGCCGATAACAGTCCCCATTAACCAATGGTTGGCTTGGTGTGTCAGGGCTTTCAGCTCCATCTACTGCAACAGTCAAAACAGGCTTCAAACCCAACATCTGATCCATGGTGACGAATAAGGGATTTGGAACAAAATAAGGGAGAGATTTTTCAATCAGGTTATCTGACAGTACCATAATGTGGACTGTCAGAGCTATTACTGATTGATAGTGTTACTGATCTTCCTTCTGTGTAAGATGGGAGATTTATTTATAATAATTTATACTATATACATATATATATATATATATATATATATTATCTGAAAGTTCCTGTTACAGAAGAGTTCAATGTTTGATACAAAGACTAAAATGAACGTACAAGCGTGGAGTTTGTGCAGATGTCAGTTGTATGCCCTCAGGGCTCCTGGACTTGGGTTTAACTGGTAATCGGCATCACGTTTTTTTAACATCTTTGCTGTTAGATCCTAAAGGGTTGAATCTGTTACTTTTATATCCTCTTTTATTTGGAGTTTCTGCTACTTAAAGCTGTATTAACTGTTTTTGAGGTGAAGAAAAAGCACGTTAAAAAACAAAAACTGTGACAACTTTGTTATCTGACAACAGATAAAAAGTAAAATACGTAAAGATATGAAGTTTGCCATCATATATAATCACACAGCAAATGTTTGGAATATTTTGCTTAATATAAGAAAATGAATAATTGATCATTTATCAAAACTGTTGCCGAGTAAACCCAAAAGGAGTTAAAGAGCTCTGTAAAGCTGCACGGTTATGGATTCATCACAAGGAGTGACCCCCTTTCAATTACAGTCTCTTTTGATCTAATCACATTACAACAATAATGAATGCAGCTTTAAAGACAGAGAACTATTGATAAAGTTAAATGATGTAAACTGTTAATGGTTAGTTACCATTTTAAAATGACAACTCCCCAATACTCAAGTTAAATGATTATGGATTTTGTGTGTTTTACATAAAGGTTTTGGGGTATGGTAATACAAAATAATGTTTTGTTGTCAGCATTATTAACCATGAAATGATGTTGCCTACAGTTTATCTTTATGGCCTAATGCAAATGTTGTATGCTAATAAAAGTGATTTTTAACTTCTCAATTGTATTTCTTTGAAAGTAAATTAACTTTGTCTCAAAAATCAATGTGCAAAGATTTACTGATCGTAAAGTCACATTTTCATTATTTTGCAGATTGATTTTCTTGATATAAAACATATGATCAGCTTAGAAAAGACGATGAATTATTATAATCTACATATACATATGTTAATAGATAACCATGGAATGATTACGCTTATGACTACTCTTACTTTCATATTTTTCAGACCATTTTGAACTTTATTACTTCTCAGCCTTTTAAAGTGGATCAAATAAAGGAGTATTTACAATGAGATATTTCTACTTTTACTTTTTTCCCCAGGCTAGGTGCGCTAAAACAATTTTTTGCCTGATATAGACACATTGTTTGTCTCCCGTTGGTAGGTCATTGTGGCTATGCAGCAACATGTTAGCTTCATCATTTTGGGGGGGGGGGGAGAAGAATTGTCTTCAAGTGATCCAGATTGTGCTAGATAACCTTCCACACTTTAACAGACCCTCAAGTACTATATAAAATATGTTTCTATAGACCAGCTTTATTCATATTTTAGCCTAAAATGGTAGACTGTTAGAGTGTGACAAACTGATTAACAGCATCAAATCCCAGAGGATCTCCTTTGTGAAGGCTGGAGCGCTCCCCAGTACCACAGCTGAAGTTTCCACATCACATTGACACGACCACTCTGAGGCCAGAGATCCTCCTGGTTTCGGAGAAAACCACATCACCATGTTGGAGAGGTTGAGGTTGGCTGCAGGGGCTTTGCGGGGCAATCACTCTACAAAGCCCTTAGTGCAGTGGGCCTCACAGGTACAAAGAGGAGAGCATCCCATCACTGAGGCAGCAGAGAGCCTGGAGATGGCTCTGGATCAGGAGAGGCGGTCCATGGGGAGGAGCTAATGCCACCTGAACACAAGTCGCCATGCAGGACGTGGGTGTATGATGTTGAAAGACCCGAGACCTGATGTCCATCACTGACCAGGATCCAATAATGACCGCCTAGCTGCACATTATCCCTAACTTAACAGACTCTAGTCTAAAATGTCTAAATTGACCAATCAGAATACAGTATTCAACTAAGCCATGTAATAAAAACATATAATTAACTTGTACACAGAAATTCATACTTTGTACTTTTATTGATTTTAAAGTGTGAACATTTCAACCTTTTTGTCATTCAGTGCTTCAGGAATAGAACTCAGGCAAGTTAGTCAATCATATCTATTCAAATCAGAAGCTTTGAAAAAACATTTAAAAAATGTCCTCAATTAAAAGAAGATTCTTTATGAACATAAATGAAAATGCCACATAGCACTTTTAGAGGATATAATATCTCACATCTTACAGGGAACAATGTCTGATGGGAAATGTAGTTGTGAAAGGATTGTTCTTTTTGGTCATTAAAATCAATGTAATGCTCCAATTCTTTACTTATTGACCACAAACTCACACATGAAGCAGATCTAGGAGGGGACTTTACCAGAGGTCTAAGAGGGAACTCTAAAATCTACAGAGTTTTTAATATGCCTAGATAAAATATCCCGTCTCAACGGCTGCAACAAAGAGAGTTGGAGAAAGATAGAATCAGCACTTTTGGAACAGGAAGAGAAATAGAGGGATATGAGGCATGGCTAGAATGGGTGATCTGTTTACCAAAACACTTCACAGACATATTTTTTATATTCTTTTATGAGACCTATGCTATTGCCTAAAAATAGCATGATAGGTGACCTTTAAGGGATTCTTGTTTTAAAGTGATTGGTATGATTCCAAAGTGTACCAACAATACCTGACTATCCTATGCAGCTGTTGTTACTCATGGATGCTAACAAAAATAAATAAAGGAAAAGTTAAAGATGTGTCTATCAAAGAAAAACATTTAAATGTTTTTTGACATAATCAGTCACAGTAGTTTAGAACTATAAAATATCACACACTCAAAAGTCCACTTATTTTTAGATCCACATTTATTGTCGGTATAAAATAGAGCTAAAGTGCTAAAAATGGCATACCTTTGGAATTTATCTAAATGTAATTAATTTAGAAATCATGTACGCAAGGATGTCAGTGGATCTCAGGCCTAGGCTCCACGGGAACGAAAACGGGTTGAATCCGCATATTTCTCTTGCGTATAGCCCTTTTTGCTACACGACGCCGTAACGGAACGGTAGAAACGGACCCTGCAAACGACAACGGGTCCAAAGGTGGATAGATCTGGGAACGGAGCGCTCTGGGGGGTCCAACGGGGCCGTGTGGTAGCCATACGGTCATCCTTTTCTGATAATGACGACGCAATAGCCCCGCCTCTCCCCACCTCTGCTGCTCACCCCCGCAAAAGTACACTGCACACTGAATTCAGATTATTTATCTTTATCTCGATATGGACATAAACGCGAGTGAAGTCTAATCTGACAGGACGGAGACACGCAGCTCCTCCCGCTGTGATGCAGCGGGAGCAAAACACACACTTCAAGTCAGATCATCACCCTTAGCTATTTTAATTACCTCTCAAACTACCTAAACTAGTTATAAATATGTTTATTTTTACTGTCGGGTTTACTTACTGGATCAGCTGCTGCATCAGACAGACACTGACGCTGTCAGAAGAGAGGAAAAAGAGACAGGCTCCTTGTATTTTATTATTATATACCATTATATAGAGTCGTTATTCATTTGTTTTAAAGCTCAATAAATAACAAAGAAGACCTTTGACCGGCACTTTTATAATTTTGTCCGGAAGATTTAAACTTTAACACACGTTGACCGGCGAAAAACTCTGCCCGGTTCCCTCGGCCCCCACCAAGGAGAATAAACAGAAGTGCAGCCATGACAACCATTCTTCTTCGCTGCTTTTGTGGAGGAAGTTGCTGCTTTTGTGGAGGAAGTTACAGCGCCACATACAGGCTCGGCATATATACTGCAGCTTTTCCAGCGGTTGGATCTAAACGGAGCTGTCTCGTGTGGCAAGACACTATCCGGTGTATATT